CTTCTCTGTTATTATCTCTAAAATTACCATATTACTTTCTGTCCAATTCCTGAGTAAAATTGACTTTTTCTTTGCCAGCAAGAAGAGGGGATATTTGCCGTAATTATTAGCCTCTCACTAATATAGGCTGAATCTAGTGATGTTGAGGATATAATATGACTATAAAATATATTCTAATAACATGAACTGTAAAATACATAATGTATAAATATATTAATATGAAATACATAGAAATATGTAAATATAATTAGGTAATCTATAAATATGTAAACTTATATGTTTAAAAACATGGACAGTATAAAGGTATGCTGAGGTGTAACAAACATTGACTTACATAATGATATGTCTGGGGAAGAAAGGAGGATTAAGAGATTCAATTGTATTCATTTTCAAAAGAAAAATGCAGATACCTGAACCATAAATGTAAATAACATTCTTATGTTTTGCCTCTGTTTTTAAAGCTTGTATATTATATTAATGTACTGAGGATGAGGACATGAATATTCTCAAGTATTTCAGTTAAAAATGGAAATTGATAGATCGAATTACAGGACAAAGTTTGGACAAAGAAATCTGGAAGTTTAATCATAAAAATATTCATGGTAGTTATCTGATTTTTTTTCAGTATTTCTGATATTTTTGTAGTTGGAAAACCTTTAAATCTGTTTTCTTTTTGTACATTAAAAATATAAAATTAAAATTAAGAGCTGCTTACTTACTATTCTGGTCTACTCTTCGCGAACGAAACTTAATGTACGCATATATTCATGTAGCCCACAAATACATTATTGAGTGTGTATCAGGCACTATTCTAGGTATTGGAGATAAGAACAGCTCATAAGACCGACAGGATACCTCTTTCATGGAACAGCTTGAATGGGGAGAGACACAAAAGGCAAATACACAAATAAACGAACAAGGCATTTTCAGGTAGTAATTCAGTCCAGAAGGAAAGTAAAACTGAATGATACTGAAAACAGGGATGGGGAGGGTGTGTGAGCTGGAGTGACTTTACACCGGGTGGCTCGCCGCAGTGTCTCTGAGTTGCATTTCCTTGGAGCTGAGAATTGGATGAAAGACGGAGCTAGGCATGTGAAGGTCTGGGTCCCAGGACTTCAGGCAGGGCAAACAGCAAGTGCAAAGTCCCTTAGGCTGAAAGGACTTTGTCGTATTCAGGGACTAGAAAGTGAAAGGGTGAGCGAAACTCAGTAAGAGGCAGGAGAGGTGAGAAGGACCAGCTCACACAAAGCCTTGTAGATCATAAGGAGTTAGTATTATTATTTTACTATATGTATCATCGGAACCCATTGCAGAATTTCGAGCCAGGAAGTGACCTGATCTATGCCCTGAAAAGACCACTCTGCCTACTCTGTAAGGATGAATTGCAGGGCGGCAGATGGGACAGCAGAGAGACCAGTTAGAAGGTGATATGCTGACATCTAGACAAGAGATTGTGGGACTTGAAACAGAGCTGCTTGCCCTGGGGAGCAGACAGACTGAAGGTGTGTGTTTGGAAGTACAGTTCACCGCTGTCAGAACTGAGGGAAGGAACCCTCAACGATCAAAGGAGGGTAATGGCATCTCGCGCGGGTGTTTCCGCAGGAGCTCGTGCATGTCGAGCATTTGTCATACTTCATGACACACCTAAGAGCATAGTAAATGATTGCTACTTACCATTGTTTTATTGTTGTCAAGAAAAGGGCATGTACAGTGAGTGAAAAGATTTCTTCTGTAAAGGTTAAATTATACTTTATGTATACCTCTCAGATCGGAGCTCTTTCCAGCATACGGTGCGTTGCTAAAAATTAGTTTTACACTGTCAATTTTTATAACCATTGCTGGATCATAGAGGGGGTTCATTGGTTTTTCTTTTGTACTTTATAAAATTGAGCCATACATATGTGTTTAAGCAGCAACATAATTTCTTTTAAAAGAATTACCTCTTTTTTCACATGTGCTCGTGGGACACTAAAGATGTGTTCCACACTAAGTGTCTAGTGTTTTCAGTTCAAGACAATTGTCCTAAGAGTCCGTTAGTGATAAGTTACTTCAAATTCTGTGTAGTTCTTTGAACTGATCCTATTTATTTATTTATTTATTTGGTTCTTTAAACCCAAAAAAGCAAATCAATCATAGGGATGATTGTGACCAAAGATTTTGGTTATGAACAAAGGCCTTGTATAACCATCAGATATAATGAGTTCTCTTTATGTGTGAACAATAATGTATAAGCATTTAACATTGATAAAATGATGACTATGATATGTACTCAGTAGAATAGAGTATATGTTTTGAATAAACTTTAACAAACCTTATTAAATAATGTATTTTAATAATTCAAAACCAAATTGAAAGAGATGACTTTGTGATTGCTGCATAAAATGTCTTTACTGATTTTGACTGTTCACCTCACCCCCTTTTATAAACATGTGTATGTATAGATATATATATATTTTATACAAAATCGTGTTTTTATAATAGAAAACCGTTAAACAGGAAGAAACATTTCATAATTCTACCAATGATTTAGTCTCTTTTTCTATCCATATATATTTCCAGTATATAAATTTTTATCATATTTGTTTTTAATCTAAAAGACTGATTAATCTAAAAAACAACTTATGTTTTTGAATTTTATAAAGCAATGGGCAAAAGTAGGTTTACAGGTACACACACATGAAACAGTGCATTCTTGTATTATTGTTTATTAATTATTGCATTATTTATTTGTATTACAACTGTAAACCTACTTTTGTTCACCTCTGTATAATATCCTGTTTTTTTCTTGTGTATATGGTTTGTACCCTTTTGGGTGATTTTTTTAAATTGTGGCAAAATATACACATTTAAAAATGTTAAAATTTTGTTTAGAAATAAAATTGATCATTTCAGCCATTTTAAATCGATAATTCAGTGGCATTAAGTACATTCATAATGGTCCATAGCATCCTTTTAATATGGGGCGATATATGAAAACCATCACCTATTTAACAGAGCCTTTATTTTTGGACATCTAAATTATTTCCATAGTTTCCTATAAATAACGTTATGACAAGCATTCTTGATGCAAAATCTTTGTTCATTTGTGAATATTTTTTTAAATGCTAAAATGTGAAAAGTGATGTTGAGTCAGAGGGTATATGTGTTAAGCCTATTGATGATAATGCCACATTTACTCTAAAATGTGGTTCCGATTTATACATTATTGATGTGAGCACATTTCAGTTTCACCACATTCTTTCTGATACTGAGCATTTTTGTTTTATATTTTAGATCAAAAAGTTTTAGTAAGACTTCACTCTTTTGTTTCAAGTTATAATGGATATTTTTCTAAAATGCCAGTTGATGAGTTATAAAATATCTTATTTTAACTTTGTTAGGGAAGAAAGGAAATTTGTTCTCAAACATTGTTAATGCACTATTTAGGGGAATATGAGTTTGTACTCAGGCTTTACTCAGGTTTATAAAGAAGGGAGGTCATTGAATCTTCGTGAGTAAAGAAAGCACCTATTGTCCAGTGGGAGACTAGGTCTGTGATAGTAGGGAAAAAGGACATTGAAGTTAGAGAGGTAAACAGAACCTAACATCTCTAAAGTTCTGCACATATTAAAAAAAAAAAAGGGCAGCAAGATAGTTACATTAGCATGTTTCCTATACTTTTGGTATTCCAGTTACTAATAAAATATTGACCTATTTTTACCCCAAAATATCAGCTTAATTTGAAGGATATTTTCTATGGAAACCTAATTCTCACTTAGATATACGTATATTGGTGGAAACTTATATTTTACTTTGGTGACTTTTTACGGTAGATAGTGTGTAGAACATATGTTGAAATAAATCGCTTTTTATTTTCTGTTTTTTACACAGTTATTTAGTTTTTATATGCATAAAATGAAGGAAAATATGACTCTTTTACTGTGTTTTAGTTTTGTTTAAGATGCTGTTCTCTAACAGCATTACACAGCAAGTAATAGCATGGCAGCACTGATACCTGGCCAATAAGACCTAATAAAATTTAAAGTAGGAAGGAATCATTAGTAAAGCTTTAGTTGATAAAGATAAAAACGCTAGTATTTGCAGTTTTTTAACCCATTGCAATGTAGCTTGTAATTTCATCACTGTAATACAATTAATTTTAAATTGTCATTGGCTGTCTTTCCCCTTCTCTTGCTCTCACTGAAATCCTTATCGTGCTGGACATCGCATGATTTTGCTGCCCTTTGACTTCCATAATGTGCTTTCATGGTATTTTATTCCTTGGTCAGTGTTTACCTAGTCCTTTTACTGCCTCAGATCACTTCTGGCTCACCTCCCTTTTTTTCTGTCTGAAAACTGTGGTACTACTAAATAGTGTTCTGGTTCGGTATTTTTAAGTGCCTATATTTCCATTTGTTTGTCATATTGTTTCCTCAAACTCAGTAAATCCAAGCTTGAGTTGTTTCACTTAACCATCTATTTCATTCAGTTTGGCCACTAGTCCCAAGGGGGGATATTTTGATGTTACCTTTAATTCTTCCTTTTTAAATAACTTGTAAACAGACTATCACTGCCTATTTCTGGTATCCATACATTTTTCTCCAATTTACCTACTGTAATGTTGAGTCTTGTGATTTGGTTGTCAGTAGTACTTAAATAACCTTTATCTCTTAAAATACAGGAGTGGATTTTATACATTTGATTTTGTCTTGTGACGCACCAGGGGAAGGTGAATGCCTTGGCCAGGAGTCTCGTCTGGCGCTGTTGCCCAGCACATATAGGAATTGAATAAATGTTTGGGCTTTTTTCAATGAACTGCCCACAGACTAAAGAAAGAGCTTTCTCAGTTCTAAGTTTTGTGAAATGAAAGAATTCATTTGAATATTAGCTTTTTGGTTTTTTTAACCCTTTTTAGAATATAGTACTTCAATTCTTATTTGTTGATATCATTAAAGGAATTCTACTCGATCTTTTTACAAAATTGATTTAATGTATAAGACAGTTTCCCTCTTTATTTTTAGGTTTTGGAAGGAAGGATGTCGTAGAACACTTACTACAGATGGGGGCTAACGTCCATGCCCGTGACGACGGAGGTCTCATCCCACTTCATAACGCCTGCTCTTTCGGCCATGCTGAGGTTGTGAGTCTGTTACTGTGCCAGGGAGCCGACCCAAACGCCAGGGACAACTGGAACTACACTCCTCTGCATGAAGCTGCTATTAAAGGGAAAATTGATGTATGTATTGGTAAGTATTACTTGAGGATATCTAAATTACAAGATCAACCTGACAGTATACAATCTTAATAAACTTTACTGTTTTCTCTTGTGTTTTTATTGTGGTGGAAATAGTGTTCCCTTAGAATAAGCAGAGAGGGTTTTATTATTTCTTATTCTTCGAGGCCATCGGTTTTCCATCAAAAGTGAAATAAAGAGATGGTAATCTAAAGTTGGTTAAGAACAAGATTCACAACATTAACACTCCAAATGCAAGTCAAATGCTAACTGGTGTGGAACTAAATTTTGATAGATTACTGCTGTCAAATTTAGTTAATTTTGTCTCCAAAGGGTGGCAAATTTTCTACCCTAGCATCAATGAGAGCCATCATAAAGCACAAACTCATACTGAATTGGATCCCATATTTGGAAGCTTTAGTTTGATTCAAGGAAAGTTATCTAGTACTGAGGCAAAGCCTTTCTCTTTATGTTGCTTAAATTGAATGCCAGCTATTTTATTAGGACTGGAAAGCTTTGAGTGACTAGTTCAAATACAGTAATTCAAAGCTTAATATTTTCAGTATGTGCCACAGTCTAGAGAAAAAGCAATTTCAAACAAAATTGAGCTTTTCAACCATTGTAAATATTGAGATTATATGAAATTGTATTTAATCAGCATTTCTTTCTCTTTTATATATGTAAATATATATACACTTTAGATTTTGCTTTATTGAATAACATTTTTCATTTTAAAATCTAAAACAAGCTTCTATAGGACAGGCATAGTTTCTCTTGAGTGTATCATCTATTTCTTCACACTCAAGATGGTGGATGTTTGTTTCGCCCATGGCAGGTTGGTTTCCATAATTGTTGTCTTCCTGGATGATGTCCAGTTCAGTTTAGTTATCTTTATGCTAAGGCTCAAATATAAATGTCATTTTCAAAGACAGAGTAGTGGTGCCATTAAGATTTTCTCCCTCTAAATAGCGATTTTTGCAGCCTTAACACTTTTCGGTTTTTCTCAGATTATTGCATTGCTTAACATATAACTTTTTAAATCACATTTCTGTCATTATCTTTTGTCACTTTAACATCCATTAACATGACCATTTGGATATCCTATCCTTTTTGATCATTGACATCTTCTATTTTTAGTTGATTCTTCCATTACCTCCTAAGTCTCTGATTAAAACAGCCATGTTGCGGACTAAGTCCTTACATAACACTGCCCTGAAAAGCTTGAAATTAAGTTATTTGTGATAAGTTACTGTGTAATAACTATTACGGAACTAGATTCGTATTCTTATCTAATCTTCTAGACTTTTGACTTCCTTACCTTCATCCCTTATTGCTTTACCTTGTCATATACTTTGGAGTTTTCTGTCATAAGTCATAGAATTTTATATAGTTTTCACCTTTTTTGCACATTCTCCTTTCTGTGCTTCAGTATTCTGTTTTCTTATCTGTACCTCTCTGAATTTTTCATTCTATTAGTGGTTTTAATGTCTTATTGAAATTAATATGCCTCTCCTTTTCCTTCTCCTAATCCCCCTTCCAAAGTACATAATGCAGTATGTTCCTTTTATACTGGTCCCATTGAAATAAAGGACAAGATGTAAGATTTGAATTTTTAAAGAATGGATTCCCACATTCTCCTATTCCTGCTGCCCTGAGTAGGCTTTGGCACCCCTTCCCTGTAAGTTCTTAGGCCCTGTTAAAGTTGAGAGAAGGAAAAGAGCTCTTTTGAAATTATAATCAAAATATAATCGAGGCTACACCTGCTATTAAAGTATGTAACACAGTTATCGTGGGAAACAAGAGTGGTTGTAGACCCTTCTGTACACTTAATTAGCTTTCAGGAAAACTACTAACTTTATCCTTAGGTACACTGAAACCTCTGGTAGCTTCTACATCATGCTTTCTGAATTTGAGTGTAGTTAAGGAACTCTGCAATGTTTCTATTAGGCGTATCTCCTCTTTGGGACAACTGGGTAAAAGAATTGGAAGGTCCCCCGCCACACACATACACCTTCTCACTGGAATAATGATTTGGAGTGATTACTATGCAAACTTAATTTTTAAAAGGTTTTTGATTGGATGGTGAAATGCTGGCTTGATTATTTTTAGATTAATCATATCTCTATATAGAATAATGAATACATTTGATATTTATAAAGGTAGAGCCCAAGCCATATTACCACTGGTTGAATGGATTGCTGCAAAAACCCAGTGCCCTGGTCTTATATCCTGACCCCTCCAATTACCAGCAGCATGTGAGATCAGGGGCTACTTCCTCACCTCCATGTTTCAATACATGTGAAATGGGAATACTACCCATATATCACACGGTTCTTGGGAGGATCAGCATGGTAATACATGTAAAGTACTTAGAGTACCTGGTATGGTGAACATTAAATAAATATTGATTGCTATTATTACTATTGTTATGGCTAAAATCTCAACCAAAATTATTACTGCTGTGTGATACAGACTTCCTGGTTCCTCTTGTTTGCCCTTTATTGACATTTTTAAAAAATTTCAATTTAAAAGCCTAAGAACCCATGTTACTTTCATAAGTGCAATTTTGTTACCATTGAAAAGAACAAAATATAGCCTGAGATTATTTTTTAAAAAATAATCTAAATGCTGGAGTTCATTACAGTGGTATTGATGATGTAATTTTATATTGTATTTAATCTAATTTACTTTAAAAATCAACATTTTCTGCCTTTAGATTGTATTCATTTCTCCTACACCCAGATATATAATGTCTTCTCTTCTGAAAATATGTCATATGATTTTTTTGAGACTCTCCAGGTGTTAGTGTTTTCATACTCCATTTTAAAAGCAAACTGTAGGTACATCTTTCACAAAATCACCTGATAATAAGGTCTGGGAGTCATAATGGACATGTATTTTTTTTTTCCTTTATTAAGTTTGACTGATTAGTATCCAACTTCTTTACTGATTTTGGACATTTGAAATGCTGAGTTGTCATTTTGGGGAAGACTACAGAAGCCTGTGGACTCAGATCTTCCTTCTTCCTACCCCTGGGCAGTCAGGATGGCCGTGGTTTGGTTGATCAGACACACCCTTCTGTAGTGTAGAATTTTGAGTACAAAGTCTTAGAGGTACCAAGGAATCATTCACAGCAGCAACTTTTTTGCTAAAGTGTTGGCAGGGGCCTGGCTATAATGTTCCTGCTAAAATAATGTACTTCCTTCTACTTGCGCTACAGCTTTTAATTTAGTTTCTGAGATTGGTCCTCCGCCCTCCTGTCAGTTCTGTTTAGGTAGACACAATTGGTTTCTGATATTTCCAAATGCATATAACTGATGCAGAGATCTTGAAAAGATAATGAAGTGGAAGTTCTATTATGGGGCCTTTAAACTAATAAAGAGATCTCTTGAGTCTTTATATAACAATTCCCACTGCCTTCACACTATTTACATGGATACCACACTCCCATCTCTCCTTATGCTCTGCCAGTCTCAAGGGAGAAGAGGACAGAGCATGTGTCCTTTGGAGATTTCTGGGTTCCTTAGCAGGGAACACAGAGCTTTCTGGCTTCCCCAGCAAACAGCCCCACAGAATAATAGAGATGCATGGTCTTCTAACACCTGTGGTGTTTTCAGTGTTTGGAATACCCCGACATCTAGACTTGAAGTCCAGAAAGGCTAATCAAAAGTAACAGCCTTTGTCAACTAGAGAGGGAGATTGAGTGAACAATCAGAATACACATCCAGGACTGCTTAAGGGGCAGATAAACACCTGCATGAAGAGATAAAAATAAAAAGATCCCTCAGGGAAATTGAAGTGTAGCATGGAAGAAAATTTCTGGGGCCAAAACTATATCTCATTTTTTCTAAAGTAAAAAATTCAGCAGACGAATTAAAGAAAGATCATAATAGTAGTCTGGAAAATCATATGTGAGAAATATTCCCCAGCACAGAGCAAAATGTTAGCATATGGGAATCATGAAGGAAAAGGTAAGTAAATTAAGAAGTCAACATTATTATTTTAAAACCTCACATGGGGATAGGACTTCCAGAAGGAAAAAATAACTGATGGACGAGATTAATAATAATGAAACAAATGATAAGCAGAGAAAAACCCAGGTCTTCAGGTCGAAAAGGCTGATGGAGTTCCTTGCTGTATTGATGGGAAGACACACTGAGGAAGATGTATGAATTTTTTCTGTGGAAAAGAATAAGGTGCCTACCAGAGGGAAAAAGGAGGTGAAAGACTTTCCATTTACAACTTTCAGAGCTTGAAGACAGGGGGTGGAATGCCCCCCACCTTCCAGGAGTGCCTTCTAAAACACTCCTGGAAGAAAAGCATTAAGCTGTAATTCTCTTAATAAAGAGCAGTTCTTTGGAGAAGGAAGAAAGACCGAATAGAGCAAGTGACATTATTTTCAAGAAACAAAGTTCCTGCCACTTGCTTTCTCTTCCTCTTTACTTTCAGATAATTCTAGGTTTCCTTTGTCCTCTATGGAGAGACTAAGGGGATCCTTACTTGGGAGCCCCAAATTCAAACTGCTACTTAAAATCTAACAGAACTTAAAAAAAAAAAAAGCTTCATTTCCACTCTCAATAGCGTATGTCATACTAGATAGAATCGAAGAGACCCAAGCCTTTGAGCAAATTACTTATTCTCTTCTAATTATTAAAATGTTGGTTAAAACTATATTTCATGTAGGTGTTAAGAGGATTAGATGAGATAATTCAAGTAAAGCACCTTAGCGGGATTTCTGTGTAGAGGGCGCTGTTAACCTTTCCTAACCTGCCCTGCTGGTCTGGTTTCCCTCACCAGGTCTCATTTTACTTTATAGCACTTATTACCTGAAATTACATATTCGTTTCATGGTGTATTTATGTGCTTGTTTTTCATCTCTCTTGTGTGCTGTGTCCACTCTGCCTGAATAGAAACACGGGGGCCCTGTCTGCCTGATCCCCAGCGCGTCTCCAGGGGAGAATGGGGACTCTGTGCCAGAGCCTCACTCTGGTTTTATCTTGCTTTTCCTGGATT